CTTCATTCAGCCCATTGACTGCTCTCTTCTTCTCCCCTTTCCAGCCACATAGTGTCAGTATTGCCACTGCTACCCATTCTTGTCTGGCACCCCTGCTGGTGCCATCAGTGTACCAGGCATCAGCAGGAATTGGGGGAGTCCCTTCTAGCACTTGGTCTGGTCTTACTGGAGGGTCAACTATAGGAGGCGAGGGGAGAGGTTCTGTGCCTTGAAATGACACTGGCCCTAGTACTGCCTGGATAGCATCAGTGATCAGGCTTGCTTACACCACCTCTCGCTGTTGTAAGTATGCATGCCATCTTTGCAATGTTTGGTTTTGCCCCATACCTGGCATGGGCTTGGCTAGCAGGCCCTCCACCCATCCTTTTATGGGCTGTGCAGTTTTTACAATAATGGGGGTGGGGTCTGTAATGGATTCCACCTGTTGCAATGCTTTGTCAACAGCCAGCAGTTGCTGTTCTAGAGTCTGTACCAGGACTCTGTCCCTTTTCATAAGCTCCATCCATAGCCCTCAGGGTCCCTGATGACTTCCAAGAGGAAGGGACACCAAGGTATTGGGGCACACAGCTGTTTAGCTTGCCTGACCAGTATCTTGGCCTGCTTAAAAGCCTCTTGGGCCTTTACATCCCAATCCCATGTAGCACCTCTTTTTATTAAATTATATAGGGGACAGGTGACCTGAGCAAAGTGAGGTATAAAAATTTGCCAATACTCTAGAAGCCCCCAAAATACCTGTAACTGTTTTGCGTTTATTGGTACAGGTTGTAAAAATTTTTCCAACAGCCATACTGAGTATGATGCGAGTCCTACACTACCATAAAACTCCTAAAAATTTTAACACTGTACCTGCCCCTTGTACTTTGTGCAGGTTGATTTCCTATCCTCACTCATTCAGGTACACTTGCATGTCCCCCAAATGAGCTTCCAAATCTGTAAAGTACTCAGAAGTTAGCATTATGTTGTCTATATAGTAGAACCTCTTCACAGAGGGAGGGCAGGGTGACAGGACCAGCCACCATCCCATGACAAAATGTGGGGCTGTGGCCTGGCGTGGTGGCTCACACCTTTAATCCCAGCACTTGCTAGCCTGGTCTATGTAGGGAGTTCTAGGCCAGCTGGGGCTACAGGGAGATCCTGTCTCAAAAAAAAAAAAAAAAAAGGTTGGGCTGTGGCAATAACCTTGGGGAAGTACTTTGAAGGTCCATTGTCCTCCATTCCATGTGAATGTGAGTTGGTCTTGGGATTGAGCACCTAAGAGGATACCAAAGAATGCCTCCCATTCATGCAGCTGTACCCAACACAGTACTTCTAACTAAAATGGGGTCCTTCCATGCTGTAGTGGACCTTGATAATGCATTCTTTAGTATCCTTCCTGATAGGCCAAGCAGGGCCACTAAAAGGGCTCTGGGCTAGACAGATAATCTCTATCCATTCTTGTTCCTGGATGTTTTCCATAAGTTCATCTCAACCCCCAGACAGCCAGTACTGTTTGATATTCACAACCCTTTGTGGAGTGGGCAATTTGACTGGCTCCCATCTTGCCCACCCCCAAGTAATTGCTGTTTGTACCCTCAGTAGTATGTAGGGTGTGACCCAGTAGGGCATCCACCCCTAGAATTTTCTCTCTCAGGGGAGAGATGTACACCTTGTATTCCTGAGGGGGATAATTTCCCACTCTCAGAATGAGTCTAGTCTGCTTTACCATATGGTTTTATCCCCTACCTGTCCACTGCCATCCATTGGTATTTAGGGATGTTGCCATGTATCATGTACACTCTGCTCCAGTATCCACTAGGGCCCATATGTTTTGTATATTAATGGGGGACCAATTCAACATGGTGCCTCCAGTTACCCAGTATGGCCCTCAGCTGTAGGCAACTTTGGCCACCCCATTAGGGGAGTGGCTGGAGGGGCTCCCATCTTGTGAGGCTGCCTTCCTCTGAAGCGGGTGGTCTAGTTGGAGTTACCTGTACCTCCTGGTCTCCAGTGTCTCTTAGTCCTGTGGTGAATTTCCGGTCTGGTCTTAAAGCCCTCCATAGGCTCACCAGCACAGAGTTTGGTTGCCTGTCAATTTTGTCCCTGGCAACTCCTGCTCTGCACAGATCCATCCATATCTGTGCTCGGGAGACAAGGATGGGCTGTTTTACTGGGTTCCTGCCCTTTTCCCAAGTGTCTACCTACTTTAGCACCTTGTGAACCCAGTTTACATGTTGGTCCAAATCATTTAAATCCGCTAAGGTCTCTCCTGCTTCATACAGGTCACGCCTAACCATGGGGCTCAGCACTGCCACCAAAGCTTCATACCAGTCTCGTGGGCCTTGCTGAATTAAGTTTCCAGTAAAAACAGCCTTGTCTGGGCCTGTGAATTGGGCATCAAACACAGCTTCCCTTATACCCAGTTCCCTCAATAATGCCTGTCCTTCCTCTATGGTCTTCCAGTCTCTGGTTTTCATGGAACTCTTAGCTGGGGATAACCATGTGTCCCTAATGGCTCATATGAGCCAATCCATCATGGACTGATTTCCCTCATATTGCTTTAGATTGTGAAGTCTTTGTCTCAAGGAGGGATGAGTGGTCATATTGCTCAGCTTCTCTGCTTCTGTAGAGCTCAAAATAATTCCACCTGCCCCCATGTCCCATAGCCTCACAAGCCAGGTGGGTAGGGGGTGCCTTCACTGCTTGTTTGAATATCTTCCCTAGTTCTAACAGCTCTGGTGCTGAGTGTTCGCTGATTACCATGGTCTCCTGCGCCAGGCTATTGTTAAAACTTCCATCAGCATGCTGAACCAAGAATTTTCCTTTTCATTGAATTAAAGGTCAGACCCAAGGGGCATCTTCCACTATTTCTTGGCTGCTTCCTACTTCATCATTACCTGGTGCTCCTTCTTCCCGGGGGTTCCAGGTTTTGGGGGTCCCAGGATGGGCCTTAAATTATCAATCTGATCTGGTTTTCTTCCCTTTAGAACTCCTAGCCATGCCAATACCTCCATCTCCTTTTCTCTCTTATCCAATTTACCAGCAAGGTCAGAAACCAGTACTGAAGAGGCCAGCCTCATATTCCTCTGTCGCTTTAATTCCTCTCTTAGACCTTCAGTTTCCCTCCGGACTACTGCCTCTGCTTGAGACAGAGTTCTTACTACCAATAGCAGCAGCCAGGCAACCTCCACAGCTTCTTGCTGATACTTCCATCTCTGATGGGCTACTCCCAGGGCTTGCAAAATTTGTTCTAGACCTTCTGTCTTCAAGACATCTCCATACTCACATGACAGACCCCACCAGTCAAGTAGGCATATCATTCCATATCACCTATAAGAGGGCTGCTATCCTGGGATTTCCCCCACTGATCTCACCTGTTTAGGTGGCCTCACCGTAGTCACACATCTCACCATCCACTGTATTCTCCATGCCACTGCCGCTACCCCCACTGGGCCTATGGGGATGGCCCACTAGGTCAGTATTTGCTCTGCCCACACTTTCCCCTCACCCAACTTTGCTTTGGTCGTTGGTCTTCTCCCCATATCAGACATCACCATTGCTCTTCCCAAACTCATCCTCAGTTTTGTCATATCCTGCTCAAGTACACCAACTGCTGCTAAAAATGACTTCTTGGAGATGTGCGTGGCGTCCGGCCTCCCTCCTCCCACCATCCTTACAACAAACTGAGGTACAAATTCTCCAAAACTGCAGTTTGGAAAATCCTAACGAATTTATTGGACTTACTAACAAGGTAGGGACTTACAGAAGAGTGCCTCCCCACCTCCATTTTAGGCTGCGCTAGAAAGTCCACACCTAAGCATAGATTCTGTGACCTCCAGACAGCCTCACAAAATGGTGAGAGGTGTGCCTCATGGTGTTTTCTGCTTCTGTATCCTTAGTCCCTCTCCCTCATGCAGCTAAGGCTGACTGATTGGGAGAGAGGGGTGACTGACTCCCCTCTGACCCTCTTTTTCTTGGAGAAGACCAGTTATAATCCTAGCAAGCAGGTGCAACCAAACTTGGGAAGAAGGTGTGACTAGATCTTGCCAGTTTAGTTTGTCAGTTGGAGGACACTTCTATGTAACAACCAGGCTGGCCTCCCATCTCATAGAGGTCTATTGGGATTAAAGATGTATGCCATTACACTCAGTTTATTTTTATTTTAATTAATTAATTTATTTTTTGGTGTTTTTGAGATAGGGTTTCCCTGTAGCCCCAGCTGTCCTAGAACTCACTATGTAGACCAGGCTGGCCTTGAACTCAGAGATCCACCTGCCTCTGCCTCCTGAGTGCCAGGATTAAACGCATGCACCACCACACCTGGCAAATAGTTACAAGTAATACTATTTCTTTAGCCCTGGCTGTCCTGGAACTCACTATGTAGACCAGGCTGGGCTTGAACTCACAGAGATCCGCCTGCCTCTGCTGGGATTAAAGTGCTGGGATCAAAGGTATGCACCACCATGCCCAACTTGCCTCTTAATCTTAAACTGCACCACAGAACCATCCTGCCTCAACACCTTCAGATTAATATGATTGTTCTCAGTCTTGACTCCTTCCTTGGGGTTCTCGTGGCCCTGGTGATTGCCCGAATCTCCTCAGCTGCTGCTTCACAAAAGAGTATTATTTTTATTTTATGCGTGAGTGTATTGCCTGCATGTAGGTGCACCTGTGTTGTGCAGTGCCCATGGAGGTCAGAAGAGATTGTTGGAACCCCTGGAACTGGAGTTATGGACAGTTGTTAGCCACCATGTGGGAGCTGGGAATTGAACCCTAGTCCCCTACAAGAGCAGCCCGTGCTCTTAACCTCTCTGAGCCATCTCTGTAGCCCTTAAAGGGATTAAAGGCCCAGCTCTTAATTGTCTTTTTACCTCTTATAAGTAAACTTTTTCTGAGGTCAGGATGATGTTATGGATCTGTGCTACCCATGGAATCACGTGCATTGCTTGGGATGGAATAAGCACTCAGCACATACTTGTTCATATTATTCATTTGAGAACTATTCTTTTTCTTCTTGTGCTTAGATCACTCAATCCTTGGTGTTTCTGCTGTTGGCTACTCTTTTCAGCGCATTAACTGGCTTGCCATGGAGTCTTTATAATACTTTCGTGATAGAAGAAAAACATGGCTTCAATCATCAGGTATTTTTTAATGTAAAGATTTCTGTGCTTTAGTCTTAATGTAATAATTTAGATATGGTTTGCTGTGTTAGAGCTTGAGTCAGTGAAGGAAAAAAACCCACAGATATGGGAAAGATGGTAGTTTGAAGTCTTGGTATAAACTCTTGAGCTGTGTGTGGTGGAACACACATTTAATCACAGCACTTGGGAGGCCAAGGCAGGCAGATCTCTGAGATTGAGGCCAGCCTGGTCTACATAGTGAATTCCAGGCCAGCTGGGGCTACAGGGAGACCTTAACTCAAACAAACTCCAGAAAACAAATACACTTTGAGCTCTAATGTTTAGTGGTTTTCAGCTAATAATATTTCAGTTGTGTCTAAGGCACTTATTATTGTCTTAGGGTGCCTAGTATCATCTAACAGTTTTACTACATATTAATCTTAAAAAATTGCTTGACTAATGTGCCTTTTGTTTATTTACTAGACATTTTAAAAGCAAGCCAGTTTCTTAGTTAATAATGGTAATATTTTCTTTTTCAGACTTTGGAGTTTTTTATGAAAGATGCAATCAAAAAATTTATTGTGACTCAATGCATTTTATTGCCTGTGTCTTCCCTTCTGCTTTACATTATTAAAATTGGAGGTGACTATTTTTTTATTTATGCATGGCTGTTCACATTAGTTGTTTCTCTGGTGAGTAAATTCTCTGATTTTCTTATTTTTCTTTTAAGATTAAAGAAATTATTTTTATTTATGTATATGTCTGCTTGTCTGTGTTGAGTGAATGCCACCTATGGGTGCCTGCAGAGGCCAGAAGTGGACTTCAAATCCTTGGTGCTGGAGTCAGTGATGTGGGTGCTGGGACCTGAATGTGGGTCCTCAGGAAGAGAAGCAAGCCCTCTTAACTGCGGAGCCATCTCTCCAGCCCCCATTTCGTTTTCTTTAAAAAACTTCCTTGCTAAGATTGTCATGTTTTCATTATCATATAAATAGGATTTTTTGTTTGTCTGTCCGTTCGTCCCCCCCCCCCCCGTTTTTTTGAGCAAGGGTTTCCCTGTAGTCCCAGTGGGAATTTGCTATGTAGACCAGGCTGGCCTTAAACTCACAGATCTGCTTGCCTCTGCCTCCTGAGTGCTGGGATTAAAGGCGTGCAACACCATACTGGGCTATAACTAGTTCTTAAGAAGAGGATGAGATGTGAGCAGGTGCTTATGTGAATTTCCCTCGTGGTTCCTACTTTGAGATTCAAAAATATGAGAGTTGATTCATAAACTTTGTTCTCTTTTGGCCAACTCTTAGAGTTGCCAGAAGCTCGTTGTTGAAGTTGGGGCTGTGCATTTATGAGTTTGACAGGAATGGATAGATGACTCTTGAATGACCCCACAGAACCTATAAAGCACTAATGTTTTCTTTTTTTTTTTTAAGTTCTCCTGCCCCATTTTCTCCTCACTCCCCAAAACTGGGACTGCCCTTTAGTACTAATATTTTGAAGATAAAATAGATTTAAGAGAGATTAAAAAAAAACAAAGCCTGGAGCTGGGAGTAGAGCTTAGTTGGTTAGTGCTTGTCTAGCATGTACAAGGTCCTAGGTTCCATCACCAGTACTGCATCAAACAGGTATAGTGCTGTGTTGGAGAGGTGAAGACAGGAGGATCAGAAATTCAAGACTACTTTTAGGCATATAGTGAGGCCAGCCTGGGTTAGAGATCTTGTCTCAGAAGGAAAAAAGACATGTGCTTTACCTTCTGGCCTCTGGCCTCTCCCTGTCCTCCCTTCTCATTTATCCCTTTCCTCCCTCTTTCATTTCTTTGTTTTTGTTTTTGTCTTGAGATTGGTTAGTTTGTTTCTTGAGAAGCATCTTTGTAGTTCAGGCATGTAATCTAGGCTGGCCACAAATTCATGGCAATTGTCCTGCCTCAGCCTTCCAAGTGCTGAGACTGCAGGCATGAGCCACCGTGCCTGCTTGTCCTTTCGGTGCCCTTCTCTGCTCCCTCCCTTGCTCCTTTACCCATTCTCAGCCTGCCTTCTCCTTTTTCCTCCCTGCTGCCACATTCCTCTCTCCTTCCCCTTCCCTTTTCCCCTCACCCCCCATTTTTCCTCTTACATTTTTTTTCTGTTTCTCGTGTTCTAAAGTGTTTTGTAGCACAGACATGGAATAATGCCGTCCCATGTTCTGTCCACCGACCCTCGAAAATACTATCATTTCTTCAACTCTGTTGATGATGAATATTTTCATCTGAATTATGTGCTGCTCATTACTGTACCTGTCACTACTGGAATAAGATCAGAAAATGGTGGCTAGTTGGACCAGTGTCTACTGTATGGCAAAGTGAAGTAAGAGGAAAGAGCTGAGGAAACACTTCCAGAAGTGCATTCAACCAGAGTATGGTTCTGAACCTCGGGACTGATTTTAGAGAAAAACAAACCAAGTTGTAGGCAGCTCAGGAAGGTTGCTGCACGTTCAAGGCCAGCTTGGTCTGCAGAACAAGCTCTAGGCTAGTCAGAACTACAAAGCAACACTGTTTGAAAAAAGAAAAAAAAAATAATGTGGGAGGTGCCTTTATCCCAGCTCTTGGGAGGCAGAGGCAGATATAAATCTGTGTTTGGAGGCCAGCTGGTTTACATAGTGAGACAATATCTAAAAAACAGAAAATATACGCAAACTTGTTTTGTTGTTGTTGTTTGGGGTGGAGTTTTTCTTTGTTTTTGTTGGAAGGGTGTTTGCTTTTTACATTTGTTTTGTATGTATGTATGTGGAGGGGACATGCTTGTGGAAGTGAGAGGACAACTCTCCTTCTACTCTGTGGATTCCAGGAATTGAACTCAGGTTGTCAGACTTGGTGGCAAGTGCCTTTACCTACTGAACCATCTGACTGGCCCTGTTTGTTTTTGTTTTAGACAGAGTCTAGCTATGTAACTTAGACTTGCCTTGAATTTATGATCCTCCTGCCTCTGCCACCCAATTGTTGGGATTACAGCAGTACACTATCATACCCAGCCAGAGTCAAGTTCTGATAATGCTTGTTTAGCAAAGACGTCACATTAATCAAGATTATTGGCTTGTGAAGTGCCAGGAATCTCCAGAAAGGGCCTGTTTATTACCACCCAGAGATCTTAATCACTACTAGTAGCATTATCTTCTAAAATTAAATTGATAGGTTTGCTGTGTTGTCATAATACTACTTTGATTCAAATCATAAACAGATATTGTCTCAGGTTTGGGGTGCATGAACGTAATTGTATCAATATAATTAATAATGTGTAGTTTTCTTTGAGAACATATTCGTAGGTTTTTCTGTTACGTTTCAGGTTCTTGTCACAATTTATGCTGATTATATTGCCCCTTTATTTGATAAATTCACACCTTTGCCTGAGGGAAAGCTTAAACAAGAAATCGAAGTGATGGCAAAGAATATTGACTTTCCTTTGACCAAAGTGTATGTTGTGGAAGGTAAGGCCATGTGGAGGTGAGAAGGGTTTATTTGAATGATTTGTTTTCAAGACTTTTTAAAACATTCATATTATTTTTATTTTATATATATGAGTGTATTGCCTTCCTGTATTTAAGTGCACCTGTGTTGTACAGTACCCATGGAGGTCAGAAGAGAGCATTGGCACCCCTGGACCTGGAGTTACAGATGGTTGTTAGCCTCCATTTGGGTGCTGGGAATCGAACCCAGGTCCTCTGCAAGAGCAGCCAGTGCTCTTAACCATTGAGCCATCTCTCCAATCCCTGTAGTTTTGAAAGTTGGATATTCAATTTTTTAAATGTATATTTTTATTGTTTAAGAATTTAATGCAATGTATTTTGATCATACTCATCCCCAGCTCCTCCCCTTAACTCCTCCCAGATGGATATTCAGTGTTTAAATCTTTGTGGGTCTTTTTGGACCAGAATCTCCCTGTAGCCCCAGCTGGCCTGGAACTCACTGTGTAGACCAGGCTGGCCTCGAATTTACAGAGCTCCACCTGCCTATGCCTCCCGAGTGCTGGGACTAAAGGCGTGTGCTCCTGCACCCAGCTGCATAGTGTCTTTTGCATCTGTTCAGTTATGCCATTAGTGTGCAGAAGCAGTCAGAGACGGTGAATAAACATGAGCCTGACTGTGTTCCATTAAAACTTAAAATATCACCAGTGAGAAGCAGTTGGGAAGTGAAGGGAGAGCAAAGATGGTTATAAACCAAAAGAATGAGCACCTAAAACTGGGCGTGGTGGTACACACCTTTAATCCCAGTACTTGGGAGGCAGAGGCAGATAGATCTGCCTATCAGTTCCAGGCCAGCTTAGAACTGATACACACACACACAAACATCTGTCAGAATAAGAAGAAACAAACAAACAAAATGAACAGCCAGAAGAGTGTAACAGTTGGGCAAGTATCAGACCATGCAGGCCTTTGTGAGTCAGCATAGAGAGTTGTTGTTTAAGTCTCATGTAGCCCACACAGACCTCCAGCTACTATATAGCCAAGGCTGATCATGAACTCCTTCCTGCCTTTGCTTCTGAAGTGTTGGGATTACAGGTGTGAGCCACCACACCAGGCCAGGAGACTCTGGAGCTGCTGTGTGAGAATGCATTGTAGGGAGAGGCAAGAGTGGAAGCAGAGGGAGCAGTTAGGAGGCTGTTAGAAGTGGTTTCTTTAAATTAGGGCAACAGTAGTTGAGGAGAAATAGATACCATTGGGGATGGGCTACAGAGGTGGTGTTGATGCAGTGTGCCGATAGATTACATGTGGGCAAACAGAGACCTTAAGGACAACAGCCTAGATTTTGATGTAGGTCAATGGCTAAGTGGTATGAGAAGGGGGCAAAAACTGGAAAAAGAACAAGTTTGTAAGGAATTAAGAGTTCTAACGGCTGTTATATATTGAAATATCTTTTAAACTTTGTCTTAGTGATAATGCTGCCAAGTAGTAGCAGCCAGTGGACTGATTTGAGCAGAAAAATTTCCTCCCTCCCTCTTTTTTTTTTTTTTTGGTCTTCTCCCTATAGCCCCAGCTGACCTGGAACTCACTATGTAGACCAGGCTGGTCTTGAATTCACAGAGCTCTGCTTGCCTCTGCCTCCTGAGTACTGGAATTAAAGACATGTAGTACCATACCCAGAAAATTTTCTTACTGAAATATTTTGTGATACCACATACAAAATCTTCAGAAAGTTGTTTACAACCCTGGAAAATGGACTTTTATATAGTGCAGCCAGGAATTTGGGATCATAGGGCACACCACTATGAAAGGGACACTGTTGTTGCCACTGCAGAACGCTAGTCAAGGGTTTATCCCTGTCTCAAAGAAGGTAGATGGCGTTCTTGAGGATGATACCTGAGGTTGTCCTGTGCCAACCACATGCACACATACACAAAGCATATAACCCTAGTATTCCTGCACCTACGCACACTGCAGAATTAAGTCTTGACTGCCTTGCTTTTTTGTGTGATTAGATGACTATCAGAGTTCCCGGGGCTACACCTGCATCCTCCTAAACCAGTACTCGGGGCCAGTTGCCAGGAGTTGCTGAGGAAGCAGACACCTGGTTTTTAGAGTTCCCAAATGAGAGGTAGTGTCACCTAAGACCTGCACAATGGGAAATTCCCTGAACTCGGAAAGATTACAGTAGTAGACAGGGGGAAAAAGTGCATGTAAGAATACAAACATTTGGGCTCAAGAGATGTTCAGCGATTAAGAGTATTTGTATTGCCCCTCCAAAGAACCTAAGTTCGTTGCCCCAGCACCCACATTGGGTGGCTCACAATTGCCTGTAATGTCCAGCTCCAATTTTGGTGCCCTCTCTGGCCTCTGGAGGCACCCTCACACACATGTGTGCACACACACACATACACACATAAAAATTTTAAAATGGGGGGCAGAGAAATGCGTCAGTTGTTAAGAGCACTGACTGCTCTTGCAGAGGGCCTGGGTTTGATTCCTCTAGTACCCACGTAGTGAATAACAGTAATCTGTAATTCAGTTCCAGGGGATCCAACACTCTCTTCTTGCCTTAGCAGACATTACATGTACATGGTGTAATTACATACATGGAGGCATAACACTCATACAATAAATACAAATAAAATAAATCATAAAATAAAAAAACAAATTAAAAAAATTTTAAAATCTTACAAATAAAAGCATACACACATACAAATAAAAAATAAATTTTAAAAAAAGAGCTGGAGAGATGGTTGAACCATTAGGAGAGTATACTCCTTTTGCAGTTGAGTTCTCGGCTCCCATGTTAGGGTGCTGACAATCATTGGGCAGCTCACATCATCTGTGACCCCAGCTCCAGAGGACTAATGCCCTCTCCTGGCTTCCATTAATTACATTTTAATTAAAATGTAAAATATAAAATATTAAGAAAATTAAGGGACTGGAGAGATGGCTCAGCAGTTAAAAGCACTGGCTGCTCTTGCAGAGGACCCATGCTCAATTCCCAGCACCCACATGGCAGCTAACAACTGGGCTATAACTCCACTTCCAGTTCTTTGTGGGCATTGCACAGCATGGGTGCACTCACACACATGCAGGCAGTACACTCATACACAGAAAATAAACTTAATAAAATATTTTTTTTTAAAGAAAAAAACACTAAAACAGTGGGTGGGCAAATAGCTCAATGAGTAAAGTCACTTGCCACGAAACCTAAAGATCTGAATTTGATCCCCAGGTCCCCAGGAGAAATCCAATTCCCAAAATTTGTCCTCTGATCTCCATACACATGCTATGGTATGTACACACCCCGAAATTTAAGAAGAATACAAATGAGATGGAGAGATGGCTTATCATTAAGAGCACTTGCTGTGCAATCGTGAGACTGGGATTTAGAACCCAGCACCCACATAATAAGCTAGAATTCCCACAGACATCTGTAACTCCAACTCCCAAGGGATCCGATGCCCTCTTCTGGCCTCTGTGAGCACCACTCCAATACACCCTGCCACACACACATTAATAAATATCTGAAAAAGAAGTATAAGATTTCAGAGTGATAATATGGTTTGTCGGGGCCTATGGTTCTATAGTATTGACAAAATTAAACCATCAATTTCCTATATTCTTTTTTTTGGGGGGGGTCTTTTTGAGACAGTATCTCCCAGTAGCTCCAGCTAGCCTGGAACCCATTATGTAGACCAGGTTGGCTTCCAACTCACAGAGATCCGCCTGCGAGTGCTGGGATTAAAGGTGTGTGCCACCATGCCAGGCTCAGCTTTACTATATTCCGAACATACTGCCAAGTACTTTACATTAAAATATGGATAGACATGAAGTTAGGCATGTAGCTCAGTTTATAGAGGGTTTACTTAGCATGTACAAGGCTCTGGATTTGATGCCCAACACCACATAAGCCTTTTATTGTGGCTTACACCTGAAATCTCATCATTTGAGAAATGGATGCAGAGGATCAGAAGTTCAAGGTCATCCACAGCTACATGACTTGGAGATCAGCCTGGGATGTATAAGACCCTGTTTTTTTTTTAAAAAAATGGGTCTGGAGAGATGGCTCAGTGGTTTAAGAGGAATTGCTGCTCTTCCCAGAGATCCAATGTCAGTCTGATCACCCTCGTCAGGTGTCTCACAACTGCCTGTAACCCCAACTCCAGGGACTCTGATTCTCTCTTCTGACCTCCACAGGCGCACATGCACACACACACTTAGTGGATACTCTCACTGACACACACAAATACACATGAATAAAAGCAAAAAATCTTAAAAGGAAAATAGAAGTAATGTAGGTACAAAATACCACATTTTAAAAAAGAAACTTCAAATTCTCAAGAGAAACAAATATTTTATTTCTTTATCAAAAAAAGCCTATGAGTAATAGTAGGTTTTTTTTGTTTTTTGTTTTTTTTGGTCTTTTTGAGACAGGGTTTCCCTTGTAGTCCCAGCTGTCCTAGAACTCACTTATGTAGACCAGGCTGGCCTTGAACTCACATACCTGCCACCATACCTGGCAATAGAGGTGTTTTATATGGGTACATTGTTAAAAAAAATGAGGTAAATGTCACCCTTGCTTCTTAAGCAGGAAACTAAAGCATACAGAAAGTTTCCTAAATTTATACAATTATTAGATATCAAAGCCAAGATCTGAGCCCAAAATCTGGGCTCTTATTCACTATTTTCGGCTCAGTGCATGTTGAGGAACATTTGGAAATCAAAGAAATACATAAAGAATAAAACCAACGAGCTGGGCGTGGTGGCGCACACCTTTAGTCTCAGCACTAAAGGCAGAGGCAGGTGGACCTCTGTGAGTTGGAGGCCAACCTGGTCTACATAATGGGTTCCAGGCTAGCTGGAGCTACTGGGAGATACTGTCTCAAAAGGACCGAAAAAAACCCAAAAAACAAACAAACAAAACCCCATAGTTCAGCTTCTCTAAGCCACTGGTGAAAATTAGGTTTGTTCTTCAAAAAAAAGAACTTTTGCTCATAGATGTATGTGCTTATTTTAAAAGCCCTGGAAGAGGCCAGGCCTGGTGACCCATGCCTTTAATCCCAGCACTTGGGAGGCAGAAGCAGGGGGATCTCTGTGAGGACAAGGCCAGTCTGGTCTACATAGTGAGTTCCAGGACAGCTGTGGCTACAGGGAAACCCTGTCTTTAAAAAAAAAAAAAGGCCAAAATAAAGCCCTGGAAGAGAGAAAAGTAAAAGGGAGGAAACAAAAATCTGTAATTCTGGAACACTTTTTTTCTGTATTTCTTTTTTGTATTTGTTTTGGCTAATTTCTTGATAATACATCAACCTTAACTACATGTGAGCTTTTGTATTCTTCACAATATATTGGTAAGCTTTTACTAAAATTCTATATATAGGTATAATATTCTTCTGGATGCTTAAAATTCCATTTCATAGCTTTACCATAATCATTCTGCACCTGTTGAATATTTAGATTTGTCTATTGTTAGAAGGCTTTTGTGAACAGAAGTGGATCATGCTTGTTGGCAGGAATGCATGCTAACAGACACTTTGCTGCTGCTTCATATTGGTACAATATTTCTTCAGATATTAAACAACTTGAAAATATTAAATCCCTTTCCAGTGGTTCCAAAGGACCACATATTTTTTAATTATTTTCCATGCTTTGTGTCTTTTCCTTAGGATCTAAGCGCTCTTCCCACAGCAATGCTTATTTTTATGGCTTCTTCAAGAACAAAAGAATAGTTTTGTTTGACACTCTACTGGAAGAGTACTCTGTACCAAGCAAAGACAACCAGGAGGAGCCTGGCATGGAAACCCGCAATGATGGACAAGGGGACAGTGAAGAAATAAAAACTAAAGTAAAAGTGAGTTCTTTTTCCTGAGATTCTCTTAGTCTATATACATAGTTTCTTTGACGAATCCAAATAATACCAGTTTCTATGCAGTGAATATCAAAATCACAGAGATGTCAAAATAAAAACACCAAGGGCCCTTTAAAGTTCTGGTAGTTGAGAGATTACTGTTGTTGGTACATGATAACTACTTTACAAGCTTTTATACGTATGTATACTGAAACTGAAAGCTCTTATAAAAATCATATAATTAGCTATCTTTACATATGTGTGTATATGTTACTGGGGTTTTTGTTTTTATTTTTATTTTTTGGTTTTTTGTGGGACAGGATCTCCCTGTAGCCTCAGCTGGCCTGGAGCTCACAGAGGCCTGGAGCTCCAGAAGGCCTCCCTCTGCCTTCAAAGTCCTGAGATTAAAGGCGTGCTCCACCACACCCAACTATGTTTTTAATTTTTTATTACATTTATTTTGTGTGTATTATGTTATATGTATGTAGGTGCGTGCATGCCACCAGCATGCACGTGGAAGTCAGAGGACAACTTTTGGGAGTAGGTTTTTTCCTACCATGTGGGTCCTGGGGATCGAGCTCAAGTCAATCACCTTTACCCATGGAGCCATCGCACTGGTTCATATTCTTATGTTTATGATCAAAGAATCCCCACAGATAAAATAAGGTAAATAAAAACGTGTAATTTCTCAGTCTCATTGAGACATAGCAGTTAATAGACTTTGGCAGTAGATAGACTTGGAAATGAGTCCTAGTTCTGTCATTTAGTTGCTGAGTGTCCTTGGTACATTATGTAATTTAGTGCATTTTATTTAACACATATTTATGAAATACTGTACCCAGGTACTTTGCTTGGCATTGAGATGGCTCAGCGGTTAAGAGCACTGACTGCTCTTGCAGAGGACCTGGGTTCGATTCCCAGCATCTATCCCTGTAGGGTTCCTTCTGTGCTTAAGGCTTTTTTTTTTTTTCCACTGTGTATTGGGGGCAAAAATTTTCCTTCTTTATTCTATAATTCTTTGTATAGCCCTCTTTCCTCCCTTCCCCTTTACCCCCTTTTTGCATATTTCTCCCTTTAGTAACTCCTTTCTCTTATTATTCTCTCTCAGGTTCCTTCTTTCCCTTTACCTCCCTGGTTCCCTTCCATATTCCTGATTCCTACAGTTACATCAGGATATGCACGCACTTAATAAGGATTTGGTGCTAGGATCCACAAATGAGGGGGAACATAGGTCCTTTTTTTTTTTTTGAGTCTGTGTTACTATAAAATCTGTTTAATAATCTCATAATAAAAAGGGGAAATGGTCACATAAACACCCTCTGCCATGGTACTGCTCCTGGGAAGCCGTAAATACTAGATACAGGGGAGTATTTGAGAAGGCGCTTCTTTATTTTTCAATTTATTTTTAAAAATATTTTATTTATAGCCGGGCGTGGTGGCATATGCCTTTAATCCTAGCACTTGGGAGGCAGAGGC